TATCATTCTTTTAGACCAATTCTTTTTTTAAAATTTAAAAACAGAAGCCCTTTCACACAAAGCTTGAACTAGATATGCATGGACTTAATACTGCCCTTTCCTTCTCCAACTTCTCTAGTCTAACACTAGCCTTTCCTCCCTTTTCAAAAATAAAGGTAAAGATGAGAAACATTATCTTTATGCCCTGCAATGCCTGCACTAGTGTGGGAATATTAATTTTCCTGTGAATAAAAATCATCAGATTATTTTGCCATCTTGGCCTCTGTGAAATGCAGAACAATAATTTAAACAAATTCAGATTCTTTTTTTTTTTTTTTCTCATTGAACCAGTGGTGCTCTCCAGAATCTCCTTCTTTTCTCATCACATACAATCTAAAGCTCCTGATATCCCCTTTTGTGCCTAAGGATGCTTCCTTGCCCATTTTGCTCTTTCTCTTCTCCCCTTTTATATAGCAGTTCATCAGCATTGCTTTTTGATTAGCAAAGTGGGTCATTTTAATAACATCCCTCTGCCCCCAAACTTACCTTTCATTTTTCAGTTCACCCTCTTGAGTTCATGGCCACCTGCAGCCAGCTCATTGATTCATTGGTGTGACTTTTGTTCTTCGGGAGCACGGGAAGAAATACGGGTGGCTTTCTCTTATCTGCCCAGGGGCACTGCCACACATAGGCGTCAAAGAACCCAGAATTTCTGTAGAGTAAAAGGGTGGTGAAAAAACAAATAAAGATGATGTCTCTTTGTAAGATTAGCTCTGTGTGTGTTTAGGTGATATGATGTGTTTTGTTGACTTACTGTCTTAGTCTGACTTCTAAAACTTGCTTTATTATTAAGTAGTCATACTGGCAATGAGCTGGGGCTCATTGCTGGCCCCAGCTGAAACGGGTACTGCTTTCAAATCGTGGTAGCCCTATTTTTAGCCTTGTTCTTTTAACTCTTTAGGAACATTGGCATAGTCTAACTTTCTGTAGAGAGATGTGCTGTTAAAACATTTTTTTCCTTTCCTTTTCAGGGACTAATATGTGGGAGGCTGTGGACTATTTGCTTCCGACATAGGAACAGCACTGGGTTGGAAATCTGCACTCCTGAGAGAATGCTGGGAATCTGCAGAGGGCGACGGAAATTCCTGGCTGCCTCTCTGACCGTCCTTTTTGTCCCAGCCATTACGTGGATTTATCTGTTTGCTGGGAGTTTTGAAGGTAGGAGGGAAATAATGGCTGGGGATGGATCGTGGGGTGTTGAATGATTTGTATGAGGGCAGGCAAATGCAGATCAGTCATCATTCATTTTATTTAAATAAATCTGGTTTGGTTTGCATAGGAAATATTTCCCAAGGTACAGATTTCAACAAAGGGCCTTCCTTACCATGTTCTCACTGCTGAGGAGGAGGTAATTGCTGGCCCCAGTTAGTTGATTTTCCTCTCATCTTTGAACTTCTAAAAAGTGCAACAAAAAAACCCCACCTTACTCATGTCTTCTCTGTGTTTTCTGATTTTTAAAAGTTGATCTATCCTATGCCCTGTAAGATTTTACTTTTAATTAAAATTAATGTCTCATTTCAGATCTGCCCTTAATATTATTTGAAAGTTTTTAAAAAGGCATCTGTATGTGTTCTGGGCACTCTTTACACAACTCTTCTCTTTATGGACCTGTGTGTTAGACCTTATATGTATGGACGACATGAGCCACTGAGTCTGATTTTGGGACACGAAGCAGGAAGTATATCTAGCTATGAGAGCATGGAGGGCCTACAGTACGTGTCAGGGAAATGTGTGTCTGGCATGGCTCTTTGCATAGTGGGCTCTGCTAGATAATGGTCACTCAGCTACAGGCTTTCTCTTGTCCTGTGGTCCAGTGTGCTGCTGCTCACTGGACCAGGGAACACACCGTGGTACCTAGTTTGTGGAATGTCGGACAGTGGTAGGACTCTGTTCTATGAGGTGTAAATGTAGCAGCAAAGAATTATGTGAAATGTTTTCTGGGCTCCTGATTTAGTTATATAAATGCCTTCATGGCCTAAACCTGCAAACACGAGGCTCTTTTCTTGCCTTTGTGTGAAGATTATTAGTTCAGGCCACTGCCTCTATGCTTCTTGTGCTAGAAGGCTGAATGCAGAAAATCAGTGAATACCTATGTAAAATCTCTTTATATAAAATCAGTTTGAATCCATATCCCTCTGGGTGGCAGTGGGTTGCTATAGCTGGAATATCTTACTGTCCGCTTCTTATTTCAGGTGGAGATCCTCAAGTTTATAGGTACATTGCCTTGCAGCTAGCTATATAACTAGCACTTTTTATAATCAGACTTGGATTAACCACTACTTTGCCTTTTAAATTGTCTATCTGATGAACTTTTTTTCTGGCCTTAAAGGAGTTCAGCAGTGATATTTCAGTTAGGTGAGGTTAGAAGATGCTGGATCTCTATTTTTTGTTACTTTGTAGCTTTCTTTTTTTTTTTTTTTGAGATGGAGTATTTTATGTTTGGCAATAGGTGTGTTATTTTGGCAAGAGTAAAAAAAGCTGTTCAGCTTTTGTAGTTATCTTAGCATGAGGAAAGGTGTTTCAGCCTTTTAAAAAACTGTTCAAGCACTAATTTACAGTCTGATAATTTAAAAAAGGTATTGTTTAAAACGTCAAGCTTCTTTCATGTAACCTTGGCTGACGAATTTGTGCTTTGTTTCAAAACAAAATTGGATTCCAAGTTAAATTACAAGTAAGAGCATGTAAAGATTTTCAGTGTGTTTTACATACATTTCTGAATTAGTTACATGCCAGGTACAAATATTTGCTTATGCAAATTTATTTGGTTACTTAAAATTCTGCCTTAATGGGCAGTAATTCTATGAGCTCATTCTAGAATGAAACATTTATGGGATTCATGTTAAATTGGAAATATAAGGGGTGCTGGCTGCATACTTGAAAACTAATGATCTGGCAGGCAGAACAATACAGATTTTTTTTATCTTTAAAAGCTGAGCAAATGCAGGCCTCACCTTTTTGCTTTTAGAAGAATATTGTGCTGCCTTGTCGTAATGACTATTTCAGTTGTGTCCACAATTGATAATGGCATGCTGCTTTAAATTCTTGTGTGTGTAAAATCCTTTGTTTTTACAGAGAGCTCAATACAAATCTTGCAATTTGCTGCTACATGGTATTTGAAGTGACTTAAAGCTCTCAGTGTGAATTAATCTTAAATGCAAACCAGGGAGCAAAGCCCATTACCTATTAAGAAGCCTTGCACTGGAAAAGGACTGGAAATTATATAAAGTTAGTAACTCTTTCTGTTATTTTTCCATATCTGTTTTCTTTTTCTTTTAATATTTGGATGGGACATGATTTAATCTTCGTTGGTTAAAAACAAAGGTCAGTTAAAATATTTATTTCACTGAATAATAGCTAGCATTTTCCTTAAATTGTAGGTATTATGGGCAGAGAGTTAAAGCCATTTTGTCATTTTATCTGACTTCTTGTTTTGTACTCCACTATGGTTCACACAGTTTACTTATCTTATAAGCTCTCTGTGTATACGTGAGTAAAAAATGTCCCACAACAGCATTGTGCCTTGATTTGAAACCAGCAGGAGTGAAGAGTCCTCTCTGTCTTCTGGCACTAGTTTCTTTGGTTAATCACAGGCAGTGCTAGAAGTTTTCTTTTCAGTTCATCTGGCTTTAGATTCAAGTAAATGGTTCTTGTTATACTTTTCTTCACTAAGTTAAAGAAATTGTCAGTACCTGGTATCTTCATAGACTCACTTAATTATTCAGGGTGGAAGGGACCTCAGGAGTTCTCTGGTTCTCTGGTTAAACTCCTGCTCAAATCAGGGTGGGCTTTGGGGTCAGGCAACATTTCTTAGGCCTTTATCCAGTCACATCTTGAAAACCTCCAAGGATAGAGACTGCATGGCCTCCCTGGGAAACTTGTGCCACTGCTTGACTGTCCTCAGGTGGAAGATTTCCTCCTTATATCTAGTCTGAACCTCCCTTGCTTCAATTTATGTCTGATGTCACTCATCCCCTCACCACGTATTGCTGTGAAGAGCCTGGCTGTCTTGTTGCAACTTGCTTGTAGGTACTGGGGGGCTGCTGGTAAGTCCCATAGAGCCTTCTCTTCTCCAGGCTGAACAAGCCCAGGGCAAACACTTCATCCCCCGTACAACTTGATAGCCCTACGCTGAACTTCATCAATGTTGTTCTTATATTTGGGACCCCAAACTGGACACAGTGTTCCAGATGTGGTCCAGTGAGTACCAAGTAAAAAGGAATGGTCACTTCCCTCAGGCTATTTGCTATGTTCCTGTTGATACAGCCCAGGATGCCATTGGCCTTTGGCCTTCATCACTGTCCAGGCATGCTGCTGGCTCATGTTTAATGTTCTGTCCACCAGGACTACAGGTCCTTCCCAGCAGGACTAGTCCACAGCCTGTGCCGTTATGAGAAGGTTAGTCTTTCCCAGGTACAGGGCTTTGCTTTGTTCATTCCTCCAGGCTGTCAAGGTCCCCCTGGATGTGAGTGTATTGACTGCAACCCCGAGGCTTGGTGTCTTTTGCAATCTTGATACAGGGGAATTCTGATTTCTCCTTCGAGTCATTGATAAAAATATTGAAAAGGACTGGTCACAGAATAGATGCTGAGGAACTTCACATGTCACTGACATCCAGACAGAGCATGAATGAGTAACCATCATGCTTTGAGCCCAACATTCCAGCTAGTTTTTCACCCATCTAGTAGACCACCCATATACACTGTAAAAACCCAACTTGAATACAAGGATGCTGTGGGAGACCATATTGAAAGCTGTGCTAAATTCAAGAGAGATCACATCAACTGGTCATCTCTTATTCACAGATCTAGTCATTTCATCACAGAAGGCAGTCAGGTTGGTCAAGCGTGATTTACCCTTGGTGAATCCATGCTAGTTATTCCCCTGTCAGGCCTGGGTATGTTTCCCTTTGAAGGTACTTACATGTAGTAGTCAAATCACCTCTCAGTCTTTTTTTCACTAAGCAAAAAGGTTGAGCTAACTGAGTTGTCATAGCAAAAAATGTTGTGCTCTTTTTTTTGTGTGCTTTTGCAGTTTTTTGTTTCTTTCTTTGTATATTTCAGGGCTCCAGAATCAAATACCTCTCTCTGGTACTGATATCTGCAGTGCTGTGTCCTAAAATTACGTGTTCTTGATGTAATTAGGAATTACATTACTCATCCATGTGTTTATATCTAAGAACTTAAGTTACTCATTTGCCATAGCATGGCAGTGGGATCACATTTAGAAACCCTTTATAATTTCTTTGTTAGTGAATCTGTGATGTAAAATATGCCCTAATGTAACCAGTTCCCATGTTCTGCTTTTTAAATAGTTTGCAATTCTATAGGACAGAATATTGTTTCATTTTGGGTTTTGTTTCTCTTGTCAGAAAGTACATTGCAGCCTGCTACTTCACAGCTGTCACCCAGACACTGCCAGTAAGACCCTTCCCTTGGAATATTAATTGGAGGTGGAATTACCCAAGCTGTGACAGCAACAGCTACTAAAAGCCTCATTAATCATGTATAAATATCTATTAAGGTTATGAACTAGAATATTAAAGAGGATTTTGAATATTGTATAGGCTTTGAACGTACCTGGTTACTGTTGTTGTTTTTAATAATGCACAAGGACAGCATAATTTCAGTTATGAGTTACTTTGAATGAAAAAACTAATTGTTCCAACATTCTTAAATTACATTCAGAAGGCAAGGTGATAAGAGTAGGAAGGGTGGAGTGCATTTAAAACAGGGAAGAGGAAATAATCAAATAATATATGATGAATTTTCATCAGAAAGAAAATAGCAATTTCACTAACCAACAGTAGCTCCAGAATTAGCATCATTTTCCAAGCTATATGCAGCAGTTTCCTATCCCCTTTACCATGAAGGTCATATAAAATGGAGGCTTGGAACTGTAATTTGACACATGCTCTCTAGATTACTGATTCCTCAAAAAGGTGTCCACTGTGGCTATGTGGCCTGAGCAGATTCACAGTCACCTCTGTTTTGACAGGATGAAAATACACTTGAGTTATCAGTTTCTGCGTGGTGGATCCACTTGACGTTGAAAGTCATAAAGTGTCTGTCTAAGGCTCCTGTGTAGAACCTATTTCACAGGAAAGGAAGAGTCAGTAATGTAACCTTAAGATGAAAACTTGAGAAGCTGTGTGACCAGGA